TGCCGAAGCTCAGACTCTGGCACAAGATCGGGAACGTTGGAAGCACTGTCTGACGCGTCTGCCTCCGCGATCCAAAAGGACTTGCAGTTATGGATGATGAAAAAAGCGATATTGAAGAGAATTCAAAAATTCAAAAAATGGACGAAAAAGCTCAAAATGAGTCATAAAATTCAAAAATATAAACTCTTAAAACCATTTAACGCATTTTTTCACCCAAATTTTTCACTTAAATACACAAATTAACGAATCTGCTTCCTTTGAATAAAAATATTTATGGCCCAAAGGAGTTAGTAGGCTGCCTCCTCTGAGAGTGTTGACACGGATATTCCCGAAAGCGGCGTAGCAGTCTAACAAATCCGAAGGAAAAGAAACAAACCCCTTAGCTATTTGACAATTTGAAACGACCCGCATTTCTTTGTAGTACAAAATCATCAGGTAGAGAAAGACATTGTTATACAGCTTATATAGGTTGGAAGCGAGTGAAGTTGAGGAAAGGGACGGAAGAGGAGATGGAGGCTAGATGTTGATGGGTTGTGCCAGCGTTAAAATAGGGTGTGTTTGACGTGTTTTCCCTTTTGACCCTGCAGACATAATGAGTAGTAACCAAGTATGTTTACCAACGCTACGTAGAGAACTTATATAAGTTATAACGTTTGAACATCCTGCTCGCTAAGGACTTAGGGAGGCTCTTTTGTGATTGGGTCGAATGCCGATGGAACGTTGAGGGGAAGAGGAACGGGAAGGGTGTTGCAGCTGTTGCTCCTATTATTCAGAAATATTTCCAAAACCTCAGGACAGAGAAGCGAGTTAATACAACGTTGCGGATTTCGGAATATCGAATTGGGGATACTCAATCGGTATTAAAACTTGCGGTATCAGATTTTAACAACGAAAACGTACAGTGTAAAGAAGCAAACTTTCCTTACTTTACATCGATAAGGCTGTAGCGTAACGCATAAAAATCTTACACTTCGCATACCGCAGTATGGCACAACCCCATTACCTCTATCGCAGGATCAGTGCAAAGAAAGAAATGGTTTTCTTTCTTTACACTGTACATTTTCAACGCTAAAATCCGGTATGATTAATTTTAATATAATGTATTAGCGGCGGTATGAAAAGCTCCCAGTCGTAGAGTCTACCCAAGAGCATTGAGCTGATGGTTTCTTTTTGTACAAATTGCACTATATCTAGTGCAAAATGTCAGTGCCTACCTTTAATGAAGATGAAAGGCGATTCTATCTTCTGGAACACCCATAATTTGAACAGAGTTTGGAAGAACTAAGTTTTTCAGTGGCTGAGGTATAGTCATTATAACGAACTTCCGAGAATGACTCCTTTCGTAAAGCAGTTTTATCACGTCTTTTTAAGCTATTATTAAACTTAGCTAAATTATCAGCTCTCAATAACAGCCTTGCAATAATAAATGATCGATAGTAAAACTCCTCTCATTCGAGAACACCTGTGAAAGGCTGTTGGACCAAAGTTTTTATCAAGTACGGTAAACTTTCCTACCGTAGTGATTTACTTAATGGCATTTGAATGAAGCACATAACTTTAGGAATTTTCTCCATAATCACCAAAGATAAACGAGTAAAATTATTATCGATTGCTGATGTTTCACCATGATTTACTCCATTGCTCACAGTAATTTACAAGCTGTGCAATGAAACGTTGATGTAGATACGTGCTTCAGGCACTGACCAGCAGAATTCAGCACTCTTCTCCGTTAAGAGGTGTAAGTTGAGATGAGTTTTCTTGGACACTTGTGCTGTGACTGATGAAACAGCCAATTTCCGGTGAAGCTTTTTGCTACAAATGGCTTAAAGATCCAGACGTGCACCGAAGCAACTTGGCGCACAGTATGATGTACTTTAGCCGTTCGTTTTAATCAGACGAGACGAGAGCTTGCGTTGTTGATCTGTGGTTGAGAAGCAAGGCGCATTTACTACAGCGAATTCGGCGTAATCATGGCGAAAGGTTGAAGTTCGGAATCTCGTCCATGTGGCACCCGCAGAATCCCCTCGTGGCGAAGAAAGCGGCGAAAACATGGTACAGGCCAGGGATGAAGCAAATGACGCCTAGTGCGAAAACGGCGTAGGGCGTGATTTTTTCTAGGCCCTAGAAAACATCAAAAATGAAGATCATAAAGCGCGAGGGTGTTGGGTGGGGG